TGGAAAACATTGATGTTTTGTTGGAATGGTCAGCAATAACTAACAAAGGTAAGCCGAGTGACAGTTTCTTCTACGTGTTTTGGTTTAGTATATAATATTTACGAATTGATGCTTTTGAAAATCACACTTTGCATACAAGTAACGGTTTCATCTCACTTGTTGTTCTGCATTTAATTTCGATTCTCTTATAATATGCGCTAAATTCTATTTATTAGAAGAATAGATAAATTATTACGTAATTTTATTACGTAACCAGAGGAGGTTGGACAGCAGGCCGCAAAGCATCATGGGTATTGAGCGCCTATTTCCACGCGTGGCTTCATTGACTGTTGACTGTCGAGGAGTGCACATCTCTCTGACTAAACCAATATGGAAGCTTTCGAACGACAAGAGTGTCAGGCTGCGATACTTTGTGAAAAGAAACAGCATGTTATTGCTGTATTGTTGCGATCATCATTAATTATGACTTGTGTTTCACTATATCAAGTTTACCTTTTTTAAATTACATGGGACGTGCTGTCATTTTAGCTTCATAAATAATCCGTCTGAGAAAAGGAAATATTGTGTTTATATTCCCGATAGCGAGGCTCTTCTTTCTAAGTTGGATGGCGTTAAATCTCGATGTAGGCTTGTATCATCAACGTGAAAACAAGCGCAGTATTTAAGGTTGGTATACTATAATGTATTACAGTTATCGTGTTATTTAGTCAAATTTCCGCTTTGTTGTTTTTATTCTTGTACTGTAATTTTATAAAATTAATACACTGTACAAAATTATGGCGTAATATGTACTTTGTCACTGTGATAGATATGTGCATGTTTTGAGTTAAACAAATCGTTTCAATAAATTTTTGCTGAATTATGATGCCTGTTTGTATCTGGTTGTGTATAGATTTTCACATATGTGTGCATACAGTAGTTATATTTTTCAATTTTCATTTGTAAAATATTGCCATATTCGTGTGTTGTTCTAATATTACTGTAAATAGTGACACACTTTTGCATTAGATTGCTAATTTTAGGGATTACAGTGTATGTATAAAATAATAACATTTTCTTGTTATGATTTTAAATCTAAAGACGAAGATACCACAAATATTATCCATAAGTTACTTGAGGAAAAGCTACACTTAGAAGACGCATCCAAGAAAATCAAGATTGATAGATCACACAGATTGGGTAGACAGAAACAAGCAGCGGAAAAGCCTCGACCAATTATTGCGAAATTTAATTTCTGTCAAGATCGGGAGAATATTCGTCTCAACGCAAAGAAATTAAGGGGTTCAAACATAGCAATCGGAGAACAATTTCCTGACGAAATTGTTAAGATACGTAGGGAATTATATCCAGAGTTGAAAAAGCCAGGGAAGCGGGAAAGAAGGCAAAACTTGTAAGGGACAAACTCATAATCGAAGGACAAGTATTTTACAAGCCGACATGATGCTAAGACATCATATTTCAGTGCACTATAGTACTAGTATGTATGCTTTTATTATATTCATTGCCTCAGTTCTGTTCAGTAACTTTAATATTTAGTTATGTCTGGTAGTAACACTGTTGACTCCTTGCCATTTCATTCACTCTCCAACAATGAATTTAATCTTATAAACCACGATTCGGAAGACAGATTCTGTCAAATTGATATGGATAGACTAAACCAATTGAAATTCAATCCATTTCAAAAAAATAATGATATAGCCTTAAGTGAAAACAATGTCAACCTTGACATGTCTTTTGAGGTGAATAAAGTTAACTGCAATTATTATTTACCAAATGATTTTAATGAAGAAACTAAAGAAATTAATAACAAAAATAATTTTGCGCTACTACATTTAAATATAAGAAGTATAACAAATAAATTTGAAATGTTGAAAGATTTAGTAACGTCATTAAATAAATCGTTTCAAATTATAGGATTAACCGAAACATGGTTGAATGATATAAACAAAGACAATTTTAATTTACCAGACTATAATTATATAGGATCAAATAGAGAAAATAAAAGAGGTGGAGGGGTAGGCATGTATGTCTCGAAACAACTGCAATATAAAACTCGAAATGACATAAGTATAAACGTAGAAAACGGAATTGAAACCTCTTTTATCGAAATATGTACATCTAAAGGTAAGAATATAATTGTAGGAACAATCTATAGGCCACCAAATAATAAGATTGACGCACTTGAAAACTCAATGAAAAGAATATTAGAGAAAATCGATAAAGAAAATAAAATTGGCTATCTTATGGGGGACTTTAATATTGATCTACTTAAATCGGAATCTTGTGATTATGCAGGCCAATTTACCGAACAACTTTTCACATCTTATTATCCACTCATAACAAAGCCAACAAGAATAACTGCTCACACTGCAACACTTATTGACAATATTTTCACCAACAACATTGAAAATATTGATTCTAGTCTCAACGGAATTATTTAGCGACATCTCAGGTCATTTGCCAATAGTACATATATGTAATATGGATAGTAATAGTTTTAATATAAGAAAAAAAGTGACCAAAACCTCAAAATATAAACGAGTAATTAATAATGCAAATATTAAATCTTTCACAAATACAATAAAAAATCTATCATGGGACAATGTAATTGATAATAATAATCCTGAAGAGGCTTTTGACAAATTTTCCCAATCTTTTACAGAAGCTTATGAAACAAGCTTTCCAGTAAAACTGATTAAAGAAAAGATTGATAATAATAAGAGCCCATGGATGACATACTCCATCTTAAAATCAGTAAATAGGAAACATAAACTTTACAAGGCATACTTACTAAACTCGAATAAAAGGATTGAAAATACATATAAAAGATATAAAAATAAATTAAATCATATAATAAAAGTGTCAAAGAAACTGTATTATGAAGAGCAACTAATAAAATATAAAAACGATAAAAAGATGATATGGTATACCTTAAATAAAGCTCTTAATAAAAATAGAAAAAAGAAGGAAATGCCAAAATCATTTGTTGGAAACAATTCCATGGATATAATAGATGATCCAAAGAAAATAGCTAATGGATTCAATGAATACTTTATCAATGTTGGACCAAATCTAGCAAAA